GGAGGCCTACCATCGCAATGCAGTGAGATCTAGGTACACCCCAGTCTGAGAGGGACGCTGCCTTTGAACTGCATGACCCAAGACCTTCAAATCTCTTGAATCACCCAATCTTGCAGCTAAGATTATAATGTAGATGGCGCCTTGTAAATGGAGACTAGAAAGTGTACGGAGTCACCCACCTTACTGATATCAGGTGCTGAAGCCACTGGCGAGATGTTTACGGTAGTTCCCACCTGATATGCATGGTTGTTGAGGTAGTCAAAAATACAAAGTCAAAGTCAACTTACTGTACTGTGATTAGTATCCGTACTAGTCCTTTCGGTGTTGCCCACAGCGCTAGTTGTTTGAACACGATTCGTAGTCGTTGTGCTTGTTGAAGTCGTTGTTGATGCTAAATAAATCATTTGGATCATCTGGAGGAGAGTATAAGGCGACAATCAGCAATGTAATGACGTATCAGTGACGGTACTGACGTTTTCTGTATGGCTCATCACCATAAGTGCCGCTCCAGTAGCCTCTTTTCTTATTATACTTGCTAGAATACCAAGGCCGCCCTTCTTCGTTGAATCTGCAAATAACATCATGATTCGCTAATTGCATATGATCCTCAAAAAATAAAGGCTTACTTGGCGATCCGATCTATGGCAATCTGAGCATCCTCCATAGCAGGATCCACATAAATTACACTTTCAAGGAACTCAGACACAACTGGCATCTCCATGACAGCTGGAATTATTTTTTCCGGTGCCACCTTAGCACAGTAATGTAATCATGCAGGATACCTTTCAGCTCCAAGAATGTCTCGATAGGTACTGCAGCCGTTCCTTCTCCCCTGTTCTGTCGCAGATGTCGAGCATGCCGTTGTTGCATAACCTCATCGGAAGGCACAATGGTTACACACTGAATCAAAACAATAGCAGCGACGTAATCGTACTAGATGCGATGCCAACCCACCTGTCGGAAGAAACCTTCAAATAGCGCCAGCCGCTTTTTCCTCGTATCTGGATCGCAGTTAGT